ATTCAATATTCAAGAACATTGCCTATTCTGTGGACAATCTGCAAAAAATGACAAGAAACGGAAAGACATTGATGTGTTTCCAGTCAGAACACATGAGTTTCAAGCCAGTGTGCTTCAAGCTTGTCGTTCTAGGACAGACAAGTGGTCTGATGCGGTGTATGGCAGAATAGCATTTGTGAACGATCTGCACGCAGCAGACGCTATATATCACCAGCAGTGTAGTGTCAATTTCAGGACGGGGAAGAATATTCCCAATAAATTATCTGCTGACACTGCAGACACAACAAAAAGGTTCAAACGTGGAAGACCTGAGACCAAGCGAGCGGCAGCATTCCTGGAAGTCGCACAATTCTTAGAAGACAATGACGAGGGACAAGCTACCATCAGTGAACTTGTTGAAAATGAATGAGGATCTCGTAGACACAGGGCAGGATCCGTACAGTGCCAAATACATGAAAATTAAAGTAAAGGAACATTTTGGTGACAGAGTTCTAATGACAGCACGTGGTGCAAAAGATTGTGTTGTGACATTGCGTGACACTGCAAGTTCCATTCTGCATGCATTTCATAAGCAATGTAAAGCTGAAAATGCTGAAGACGAGAAACATAGCATCGTTGAAACTGCTGCAAAACTCATTGAGAGTGACGTCAAATCTATGGACATCTCACCTGATTTCTACCCAGAAATAGAAGATATAGAAAGTGAAGAACGTGCTCTGAACTATATTCCGAAGTCACTACAAGTACTGTTGAGGACAATGTTTGCTGGAAAAAATATTGATGTAAAGCTTGTTTCGATTGGTCAGTGTATCATGCAAGCAATACGGCCAAGAGCCATACTAGCGCCTCTACAGATAGGCCTAGGGGTGCAAATGCACCACCATTTTGCGTCACGCTTCTTGATAGACACACTTCATGGGCATGGCTTCTCATGCTCATACACGGAGGGGCAGAGGTACGAACGGAATGCAGCAGTTACCCAAGGTATTGACATTCCTGGGTTCACATCAGAACATTCTATGCAATATATTGCTGACAATGTGGATCACAATTTAGTCACTGTTGATGGTACAGGTACCTTCCATGGAATGGGTATAATTGCTGCAGTCACGCCAGGAACACGAGCCATGAAGCATATTCCTAACGGAAATGTGACCGCTGCAGACATTGCTGCTGTTGGTCGCATCAACATTCGGTACTTCAAGATCCCCCCTGCACTACCACCTCTTACATATCTACCCCTTGTATTGTTGGAGGCAGAAGATCCAACAGCACAGCTAGATGTCTTATGGAAGAGCTCACTACTCCATCATTCTCCAAGACCAGCATGGGCTGGTATGATGCAGATGTTGCATCATGGTCAACACCCAGGAAAGGCCTCAGTGATGTTCTTGCCAATGATTGATCTTGATCCAGGCGATACATCATGTATCTATTCTACACTGCATTTCGTAACAGCTCAGGCGAAGCGATATGATGTCACTCCAGTCCTGACATTTGACCAGCCCTTATATTGGAAAGCGATGATGATTATCCGGTCTCAGCCCGATGACAGTGATCTGAAGTGTATGGTTCTGAGGCTTGGTGGGTTCCATATGCAGATGAGCTTCTTAGGCAGTATCGGACACCTGATGGCCGATTCAGGACTACAGGAACTCCTCGAGATTGCATATGCTAGCAACACTGTTAGCCACATGTTGACTGGCAAAGCTGTGTCAAGGGCAGTCCGTGGTCACCTGCTGGTAGATGCTGCACTCAATACCATTCTTGTGGCCGATACATACAACGTTCCAGTACCAACTAAGCAGGAAGCTGATGACTCCGAAGCTGTAGGTGTTCTACAAAATCCGGAACGGTCAGATGATGATGACGAGACACACGATTTAGACACAGACACCATCACGACTGACTTGACTGCAGCTGCGGAACTGTATGACAGAGCAATGTCGTGTTCATTCTCTGTGGAAGAGGTGTGTTCATCAGAAGCGTTAGTGCGACTCCAAAGTAAAGTGAATGCGAAGAAAGAAATGATGACTGGGCGCACAGCAACCTTATGGTTACAGTATCTGGAGATGGTGGATATCCTGCGAAGGTTTCTCAAAGCAGAGCGAACGGGAAACTGGAGATTGCATCTTCAGTCAGTACGTGAAATGCTACCCTTCTTTGCAGCAGCTGGACACAAATTTTATGCGAAGTCCGCATATGTATATCTGCAAACAATGACCCTGCTGCCCGAAACACACCCCGATGTCCATCAGAAATTCGAGGAAGGGTATCATGTAGTGAGGCGCAGTGACAGATACTGGGGAGGACTGTTCACAGATCTCATCATAGAGCAGGTGCTAATGAGGAGCGTAAAGACGCACGGAGGCCTGACACGAGGAAAGGGCATGACCGAAACTCAGCGCCTACTGTGGGTCATGTCCATGCCGGCATGTGCCAACATGAATGATGCCATGCAGAAGTTCACTGGTGTGTCATATGAGACCAGTGACCAACACAAGGATATGTCAAAGGCTAGACAGGCTAGAGATGTCAATGACACCCTGAATCTTATCAGCTACCTCGCACAGAGGGATCCATTCGTTGAGAATCCATCACTGTTCAACATCGCTAATGGCATGACGGCCCAAGAAGGAATCAACGTTGACCGATCAAGAGAAATTGGGGAAGACATTCTAGACTCCATGGTCGGGTTATCTGTAGACCAGGCCACGACACTTGGATCAAGATCAACAGTGAAGGTCAAAGGAGAATCTGTAACGGTGGATCCACAGTTGATATTTCAGAGGTTGGTAACTGTAGGACAGCGTTCAGAAGATGTTTCATTCTTATTCAAGTATGAGTTCTGCACTCATCCACCTGCACTGTTTGAATCAGCTGCACTTCCCCTGCAGGCAAATAAGGCAGCACTGGCCGATGTGCTCTGGAAGTCTATGAAGGGAGAGCAACGAGAACCCAATGCAAATGTCCAGTATGTGCTAGATGGTGGTGCTCTACTTTATCGTATACCATTGCCCAGAGGATCTAAATTTGACAGTGCGTGTCAAATGTATGTTGCGTACGTCACACAGAAGTATGGAGCTGCTGTCGTTGTCTTTGATGGGTACAAAGATGAGCCCGCAACTAAAGATACCACACAACTGAGACGAAAAGGGGCTTGTGCTGGTGTGACAGTACACTTCGATGGTGACATGATGATTCAATCAAAGAAAGAAGCGACAAGCTGGAGAGAGCTGGCTGTAGCATAGACAAGGCAACGCACGACGCCGACGTGTTGATTGTTCAAACAGCAGTTGCCTCTGCCCAAACAAAAGACACTGTACTGATTGGGGATGACACAGATTTGCTGATTCTCCTACTGCACCATGTCGAAATG